CTGAATGAACCTAATCCGGTCACTTCAAAGCTGTTAAACCAGTCAAGAATGAGCTTAAATCGCTCAGGATGATGAGCTTAAATCGCTCAGGATGATGAGCTTAAATCGCTCAGCTCACAGATTCAATCCAGTCAAGACAGCTGTTCTTAAACCTGTCAAAAGCAACTTAAATCGCTCAAGCTTTCTTTATCTGCTCAAACTTCCTACTGCATGGTATGAGACCTGTGAGAATGAATGTTCTAACAATATTCAAACAGAAAGTGGACCAAACAAAATACAAAACAACACTCAAACACAAAAACTTGCAAAAACTCTAGAAAAAAATGGATCAAACTAACTTTTTTTTTATGAATTTTCTTAAAAACGAGAAGAACTTCAAAAACAAACAAATCTCTTCAAATCTCTAAAAACGATGATTAATACGCAAAATCACAAGAAAAACAATGAATCATGATGTAAAAACAAACACTACGATCACAATTTTAACAACAAACATCCATAAGATGAGAGATTTTAAAAAAAATTTGATCTAAAATGAACAACCAAGAACAAAAAAAAAAAAATTGAAATTCCAGAAAAAAATTGTGTAGATCTTGATAATTTCTTCAATCAATCTTCCTGCAAATCAGCTCTGATACCAATTGAGAGTCCTCTTTAATGATCAATCTTCATAAAGCTTCATAGATTCATGGCAGATCTGATTATCTTCATTCAAGAACATAGAAAGAGTAAAGAGAGAAAGTCAACACAACAAATCTAGTCAAACTTTTCAATACGTAAAAATGATTTTACAATATGGCTCCTACACAAAATTACAAGATATCACCCTATTTATAGGGTCAAACAAGACACAAGGTCAAAGTCAAACTATTCTAAAGAAAAGTCAAACACGATGACTTTTACATAATTATAGACAAAATTAACTTTCAAGACGAATACAATTATATACTGATTTTCAGTCCTAACAGCGATCAAATGAAAACCACCCATATTTGTACAAACCGTACAAACCACCCTCATACATCGACTTCATTGTTTAATCTTATGAAATTTTTTTAATGAAATTGTTTCATATAATACTTTTTTTGATTAATTTGTTTCATATATGGTTATGAAATTGTTTCATATAATATTTAATGAAATTTTAATGAAACTGTTTCATGTATTTTTCTAAAATTAAAATAATGAAGATGTTAATATCCATGATTAACACCCTCCACAATAAAAATGGTTAATCAACCTCTCATAATTACAAAAAAATGAACAAAATGAAAAATTATGATTGGTTGAATGAGGTTTTCACGGTTGTACAAATTGAGTGGTTTTTATTTGAACACTTCTCTCTCTCTCTCTTTATATATATATATATATATATATAGAGAGAGAGAGAGAGAGAGAGAGGAGCGATCAAATGAAAACCGTCATCATTTGTATAAATCATATAAACCAATTTCATTCATCCATTTTCTTGATCAATGGTCAAGATTAGTTTAGTTTATATTAGGAAGTTAAAAAAAATTATTTTTTAATTGAAAAAAGGGCAAAATTGTGAAACCGTCTATATCAATAAATCGGGTATAATCATCAGTTTTCTTAATCAACCCCATTTTGAATAAAGAAACAATATTTTTAACTATTACATTTAACGAATGAAATGATTCACAGCATTTTTTACGATACACAAATCAACGTCTTTCTAGAGGAGCCATCGGTCATTTTCTCAGAAGATGGATCCGTTTCAATCTTATTATGAAATGGTTTTCCTGTTTGCCTATTAAACACATGTTCTTAACGTTAACATCTCAACCGTTTACAATAACCATTCCATGAACCTGTTTCACAACTTATAACACCTAAAAATACTGCATCCACCATACCATACAAATCAATAACCACTAAGTGAACCAGATAACCTGGGAAAAAAACGAAACGATTTCATCAACAATTGTTGATAATGAAACAATATTATCCAAGAATATATTTTGTATCCTAGTATATTATGCAACGATTTAAACCATAGATGAAATGATTTCATGAATGAAATGGTTTCACAGTTTCATTAATACACAAATCAACGTAATGCTAGATGAGACATTTGACATTTTCATGTTTTCGGTAGATGGATCCGTTTCAATCTAATTATGAAATGGTTTCACTGTTTGCTAATTACACAACATGTTCTTAACGATTATGAAATGGTTTCACTTTCGTTATTCACCCATTTCATCGACAAAGTTTTTGCAATCCGAACACGTTTCATAGCATGAATCTGTTTCACTAATATTTATAGTTTTACCGGTTTATGAATCTCTGTTTAGGATCTGTTACTGATTTTGTGGATCAATCAATGTAAGCTTTTGATCTTCATATTCTTACTACGTATAGACCTATAACATAAATAAACATATTTAATTTTTAAAATACGAAATTAAATAAACATTTACATATTACCATTTCTAACATTTTCTTTATTACGTTTCTTTAATTAAGATCTCTTAATAACTTCCATATTTAATACAAAACAATGTAAATGACAATTCAACCCTTAATGATTAAATTTAATTAAAAAATAAAGGAATTTTCCTATTGATCGAAATCGGTTTACACGGTTTCTAAGAATTAGACTTTTTTCAACAGATCCCTATATATATAGACAAGATCAAATGTTAACCAAAAATTTTGTGTTAACTTTGCAAACCATGTCAACCAATCAAATTACATTCTTCTATTAGGTTTTTATCATGTTCACAATTTAATTACAAGGCTAATTCAGTAAATTGATTGGCTATGTAACTCCCAAACAATTAATGGGGAGTTACAAATCATAAAATCCCAAAAAATATGCATTTATAATATTTTTATTTTTTTTAATCTTGATCTTCCATGTTTATTGTTTTATAAGTTTTTCATTCGTAGAGGAAACACGGTAGTAAGATCATCGATATCGCTCAAGCTAATATGGATAAACGCAATGAAAAAGAAAGCGACAACATTGAGAAGATTAATATGGTTCGAAGTGAAGAAATTAACCAAAGCGAATGTCTTGGTAATGGATTAATATTTTTGTTAGACTCGTTTTAATCGAAATTATGTTCATTATGATGTATTGTGTTTTTTGTAATTCATATTGCCTTGATAGCTTTTTTCTTTAATTGCATCACATGTTCATACAATAGAGGTTATGAAGTAGAAATTATGGATGTCCATTTTCTGGGAAGTAGAAACTGAGCAGCTGGTAAATCTTATTGATACAGTAACCATGTAGTAGAAATTATAGAGAACATCCAATTAAGATCATAAACATTAATTAAGAAATTATCTCTTGTACTACATTAGTGTAACAAAATAATGAGTAGGAACACTGTATGCACCTGATTCAAGGCAACATATGCATATCCTTTATGGATGAACACTCTGCGACTAGCCACAAGTTCTGGAACTTCTTCAAATGGAACATACATCAATTTAAATGAAACTAACATGAAAATGGGCAACTAAGACTAGCAAATAATTGACATATATCGTTCAAGTAATCAATAGTAAGATCTCCATCTGAGGTATGTACACACTGCACATATAATAAGAATCGAGCCCCAAACTTTAAACATGGCCCCAGAAAAGATAAACTTTTCAACTTGTGAACACGATATGAACATAAATTCAGCAATGTGAACCTTCAGACAACCATACATACACATCTCGTGTTATATGATATCTTCTTTATTTTAGGAACAAAAGTATAGCTATATGAGCACGAGATGAACACATATTGACGAAGATGAACACATCTACACCCATTGCTGAATTCCTGTTCATATCGTGTTCACAAGTGTTCATCATATATGTGTTCATACGGTCACTATTTTCATCATTTTATTATGTTGATATGTTCACACTAAGTTCATGTACATACCACCTGTTGTTATGTGTCAATTTCTGTTCTTAAGTTACACAAGGGTTCATATAGCTATAATGACGTTCCTAACACAAAGAAGGTAATATATAACACGATTTGTGTTTGTATGGTTGTTCATATATATTCTCAAGTTGTTGATCCCGCACTTGTATAAACACGTTCTTCATAATTAAATTGTTCATGACATGTTAATGTTCATATGTTTACACACGACCAATTTGAAATGTTAACAAAAGTTGAAAAGCTGAATATGGTCGGTCGTGTACGTCGATTTGTGTTAATAATTGCAAACATTGTCCTCCAGTTGTTATTTATAGGTTTATAATTTTTCAATAATATATACTTAATCATCACCACTGTTCATATTTGTTCAATGGAGAGAAGAGATTATATAGAGATTGCTTGGATGCTGCTTCATCAAACAGGGGCTGGCTTTCTTATTCGAATCTTAAGTTTACTTATTTTAATTATTATCACAATATGATTATGTTTACTTAATCATCACCATCTTCGATATGCTCATATTTGATCATGACATGGTGAACAAAGCATACAAACATGTAACCAGCCAAAAAACTAATTTCTCTTCCATTTAGAGTTGATTCACCATGAAGCCAGAAAACCTTATCTAGAAAATCATATAAGATACATAAGTTGAATCAGGTTCCGTCATTATAATTTATTGCAAGGAAATATACCTCGAACCAAACAAATATATTTTTATCATTGTTGCAGTTGATTACCCCAACTATGTAATATTGATGTTCATTGAAGTTACAATATATGATGGTATCAACAGGTGTTCCCATGCTTACACCTTCCGAACATGAAACGGAGTACGATGTCGGAGAGTGTTCAAATGGAAGCAAGTATTTTATCCCTAAGGTTGTTGACGAGCTTAAACCAAATATCAACTTACAATTCGTATATATAAATGAAGCAGAAAGATGTACAGGATGTATGCGGACAATGCTGGGTTTGATGTTCGTCTTCATGCCAAAAAAAAAACAAGAACGGAGACCTACAAACAAGATGGTTTGTATGTAATAGGGAGGGAACACCAAATAAAAAGATTTTAGATTCTATGGCTATTCAGTCTAGCGAGATGAGATACCGTAATACGAACTTTAAACGGTGTAGATGCAATACATGTGTAAAACTTCATTTGACAAAGGATAGGTCATGTTATGAGATATACGAGTTTGTTGAGGCACATAATCATGCGTTATTCAATACTAATGATAGACGTTTCTCAAGAAAAAATAGACAGATGAAGTCTATGAATTTCAAAAATGTTCTAAATAGCTCGAGTTACAAAGTCAGTGCGATAAGGGCTCGCTGTATACAAACGACATTGAATGGTGGATTTGAGCACAATCGATGTTCTGAGATCGACTTTAAGAATTTTAAGAGAGATGAAGTTGCCTGTGTTGGGAAAAAGGACGCGAAGATGTTGATCAATAAATTATCCAATAGGCGAGATATTGTGTACGGTTATTTTTTCGAGTACAAGTGCAATGATCAGAAGTTGAGTGCCATTTTCTGGGCAGATGAGGTAGCTAGAATTAACAACAAAGAGTTTGGTGATGTAATTTCGTTCGATGGGACGTTTCGCACCAACAAGTAAGATTTTCAGGTTCAACCAAATTTTTTAAGTTGGCTACTCATCGGTATCATTTTATAACTGTTCTTTTATGTTCTAGCCATGTGATGATTTTTGTTCCTTTTTTGGTGGTTGACAATCACAAAGCTTCCGTTGTTGTCGGATCCGCGTTAATAAGTGGTGAGACGATTGAAAACTTTACATGGGTTCTAAGAGCTTTTCTAAAATGCCATGAGAAGCAACCAGTTTCTGTGATTACGGATCAATGTTCGGCAATGAAGCAAGCTATTCCGTTGGTGTTTACGGAAGCCAAACACCGACTATGTATGTGGCACATCATGAAGAAAGTGCCTTCTAAAGTAAGTACACTTTAGTAAACCGTCTTTTTTCCCATGTAAAGGTGAATGTTTATAGGTTCATATTGAGATCGATATGTCCGTAGGTTAGTGTCGCCCTAAATCAAGATCCTGTGTTCAATAAAGTTATTAACAAGCTCGTATGGAACATACATGTTGGCCCATCGGAATTTGAGACCAAGTGGCAAGAGATGATCGAGCAATACAATTTAGGTGGTGATCCGTGGTTCGTAGAAATGTATGACATCGGTGCATCATGGATTCCGACATTTTATAAGGACACACCTATGTCTGGTCTTATGAAAACAACATCAAGATCTGAGAGTTCGAATTCGTATATTAATATATACAAATCATATTGGTTTGATTTGGTTCAATTTCTTAATAATTATGACATTGCTATAGAGAAACAAAGATACAAACAAGCTGTGCATGAAACAATAACGAGGACCATTTATCCAAAGTTGTTTACCCCTTTGCGTTTAGAAAGTCACGCATCAGGTATATACAGTCGAAATGTGTTCTTTGACATCCAAAAGGAAATAAAGAAGGCCGTTTGGTGCTGTGGTATAGGGACGGTCGAATGTCAGGGTGATTTCAAGACGTTCATCATAACCCACAAGAACAAGAAATCATCTGGCAACACAACGTATCTGGTACTATATTCCTTACACATAAACTAATGTTTTTATTATTATTTTCATTTAAGTTCACCTGTTTGTTTTATCGTAAACTAATGTATTTATTGTAGGTATCCCGTAATTACCCAGGCAACACGGTTGAATGTGAGTGCAATCTATTCACGCGTAACGGGTATTTGTGTCATCATGCATTTAAGGTTCTAATAAACGATGAAGTTGATAGTATTCCGAACCAATATGTTTTACGTCGATGGAAACAAAAATTAGTTCCGGTCCAGATACAATCCGCCAGAGTTCAATATAGTGAGGTGGATACGGAGAAGGATAAGTGTATAATTGATGTCTACTCCAAAGTCGACGACATAATAAGTATCGCCCGGAATGATAAATCTATATTGTGTAGATTGGAACAGACTCTCAACAAATTCATGGTTGATATCAAAGAAGAAGTACCATATGAAGACCCATCCAAACAAAAGTTGGATGCGATTAGAGATCACCTTGGTGTTTCCATACAAGGTGACGTGGACATTCTACCACCATCTAGAATAAGAAACAAGGGTTGTGGTACTGGTAAAAGGTTGGTAAGTGTGTCTGAGAAAATACAGTCTGTAAGCAAAAAAACACGGCGGAAATGTGCGACCTGTGGCCAACGTACCAATCGTGACTCACACAATTGCCCCGAATTGATAGATTAGTTAGTATTCCAATACTTTGAAATATTATCGTTTCGGTGTACTTTGTTGTCGTCAATCTTACATTTCGTCATGCGCCAATTTCAGATTATATCTTATTACGATTGGCATATATCATCTATGTTTCATTTCATTCCAAATTATAGATGTTTGAAGCACTATTTGTTATTTACAAGACAAAGTAATAAAACCACCCTAAATGCCTTGTTTCTAATTACCGAATCTGAATGATTGTGTTTTTATGAACAATGTTGTACTTTATTGGCTATTATTAGGTTCTTGGATTACTGAGTATGATTTGGAAGTTCAAGATTTTGTTTTTGGAGGATCTCGAGAATAAAACTGTTGTTTTTGTTTTTCAAGTTTTTGATTTGTTCGAAAAATTATTGCAAAAGTTGATTGTGGCTGACAGTAACTTGATTGCTATATCAGTTGATGGAAATAAAGTTTTAGGATTTGTCTGTTGTTCATCAGTATTATGAAATTTATTGTGTTATTGAAGATAGAAGTTTGAATTTATGATGTATGTGCTCAATTAACCATTTCTTGTTTTTTTTTTAATTTTTTACATTGTTCATTATGTTTCAGACATGGGATATTTTGCAAGGCAGTGTGCTAAAACTCTTGCCTGATATGTCAAAATGAAGTAAATGTATCGCATCATTACAAAGGCAATATATGGGATCAAGTTTTTACAATTTAAGCAAAAGGTAAGATGAAGTGATAGGAGTCCAGCTTTCATTCACCTAATAAATTCATACTTTGAGTTTTATAAGGACTGATTAATCATCATTTTAAGGTGTAAGGTTTTACATTACATACAACGTATAAATGACGTCATATTGACAATCTGTAATAATGAGATAGTGACACACTATGTGTATTGTCATGATAACGCAAGATCACATTGTTTCTAACAACCCGGTGCTAAATCAAACATCAATGATCACTTAATTAAACAAACACAAAAATGTGAGACCAAACATGACATGCGTTTATGTCTGAAATTGTGACGCTACCACAAATAACCAAAAGGTAGAAGTTTCAAAAAACAATGAAACTTCAATGTGTCACCACAACTGAAGTTAACATCTACTTCATTCCCCGATCTACTAGTGGGACACCATGATTTTTTCTAGCATTGTACGATGTCTCCATCAAAATGAACCATTCAATATCAGCTACGATAGATGTCTTTCGGATATTCTCATCATTGAGTAGCATTTTCGAACAGTATTTGGTTCTGAGATCCTTCAACTGTCTCTTCTGTTTCGTGCTCTCCTTATCAAGACCACAGTCCCATTTCACTATATCTCCTCCAAAGAATGTCTCCATGTATCACATTAACATTACACCACAGTCAACCGTATTCTCATGAAATTGCCAACTTGTCTTGATATGATCCTGATCCATTTCCGCGTATACCTTCTAGGCCCCATGCCCCTCTTTCAGTAGGTGCATTATCATCATGTCTTGCTGCATACATAATAAAAATTACAACTTAAACATATGTCCATATTGTTCATACATAATATAAGGAAACATTAAATTAATTTACCAAGACTATAGTTCTAGAGCCATATATATCATTAACTTTGCCAGCCCGATTCTCACTGTCTATTATGGATATTGATGGGTGCTTTAGATCGAATACTACGATGTAATAGAATGATGGTTCTACAACCGCGAAGAAGACCTACATTTTTGAAAAGCCGTGGCTAGATGATACCATTTGAAGAAATTTTTAAGAGCATACGTACAGTTTGTAACAAACTTAATACATTTACCAGATCAATGTTACGCATACTAATCAATTCTTTCTCATTATCGATGCACCTCGTGATGTTCTTCCTGAAACTATCTTACCTTTGATTAATATTCTAATCTTGATCTCTAATAATATGATCCAACTGCGCAAAAAACAACGCATAAGGTATATTGAAGAGTATGAATGATTACTATAGCAATTACATGGACGTTTATGAAGATAATATTACCGAAATATCTGTCTGTACAAAATAGCGCCTCAGAGACTCATTGGTCCTCAACCTTTCCTCTCGGTTAAGAACCATTGCCCACCCGTCTATAATTTTTTTTGCAAACCATGCTCTAAGTTGCAAGAGATTGCATTATCTGACGTGTAATTGATTTCCATTTCGGTGTCATGAAAACTGGCTCACTACAGGTTTAATTCGGTAGGTATTAATATCCAAAAAGACAACATTATATGGTTGTTACTATATATAATAAAAATTGGACAATCAAACTTACAGAATCCCGCTAATGCCTCTTAATATCCACTCCTGCAGCTTCCTTTCATCACTAGTCACATCGAACGTGACCGCACGTGTAACATATGGTGAACATTTTAAAGCTCAGTTCTGGATCTCTTTTTGGCATTGTAGATCTCACATTTTGTTCTCTAACTCCTGCTATCGAACTACATACACAAAAGCAATAACTTGTTCCTTGGATGGACTTATTCCCAAATCAAAAGCAGGTGCCTCGATATCTACATAAGAATCAATGTCTCGCACATCATTATCCTAATGATACTTGTCAAAATGATGTCTATGTGCATGTGTGTTCATATACCTAAATTTGTGTAAGTGAATGCACCTGCTGTTCATAAAATGGGGGTCATGTGTTCATATATTACTACAATATTCTTCTAGTACGTGTCATGAACATTTTTCACATATAATATGTGTATATATGTATATATATTTGATAAACATTGGATCGAGGTGACATTAGTAACATACGACAAGAAACTTGGATATCAAAGTACCTGTTTGTGACCGTCTACAATGCTTACTGGTCCAAGGTTCACATTCATCCACACTCCTACTTCGAACCCTCCCAACAATTTCCAATGGTGATTGTAACGATGTAAGCTTCACTTTTTCCGATGGGTTCGGGTTTGTGTAAACTCCCTTTTCTTTTGATGTGAGAGAAACTTTCTCGTTTGATGCCCAATCAACTTCCGCAATCACGGTTGGGCTTGTCCAGAATTCTGATAATGGTGATAACATACCAGGATCGGATGTGGTGGTCATCTTCCAAGGTGTTACCTCAACAAGTGACAATTCTTTAACATGTTCCACTGAGCCTGTTGCAATCTTTGAACTGAGTGTCATTATTTAATGCTATGCCACTACATTGACCTAGATCTTGTCGGGACTCCCACATGCTCCCTTTAAACATGCTTGATAATTGATGTTTGAATTTGTCAAAAGCTGTGTCACCGGGAAAACGTTCCACGTAATATTGCAGCATCATGTCTGTCTCCGACCTTGAAGAACACAGATCTGCAATTCGCTTTCTCATGATTATTATGCATTCCTAAAAAAAATGCATGAACCTTAAAGCACAAGAAACACATAATAATTACGTATGTGAAAGCATCAACTATCATGCAGTCAAGTTTGTGTGTTTGATGTTCACATATTCACATATCTGGATGTTCAACAGACAATGGTAGGATCAAATTGAACATAGGATGGCATAAAATTTGGAAGATTACCATTTTATGACAGCCCAAAAATTAAAAATTTTATCAAAGCATGGCACTACTTATTACAAGCAGCTGATTCAAAAGAACAACCACTATGAAAATAGATTGTTGACAGTTAAATGCAACCACTGTACATATAAACACCAGTAGCCAGAACAGTATCCATATCATGCATGAGATGAAGCTCGTGTATCTGTTTTACAAGCTACGTGAACAGTTTGGATAAGTGGACATCGTTACTATGGCATGCACAACTGTTTTATGTTCATATCTACATATAACAGTTGTTTCATATTGGATTTCATTATCAGGTTTCATAGTTCTCAACCCAACAACAACAACTTTAACAATAAGATCTATCAAGGAACTATGTATCAAATTACACATCAACTAACACGCATATATGTATTTATCAACGAGTGAATATACATGTTTATTTACTTTTGTATTTGGATAGATACTATTTTTCTGCTGCCGTTAGGTAGTGTTCTTCTTACGCATTTTATGCGATGTTCAACAGGTGCATCTACATGATCATATACATATTTATTTGACAAATACTATGACTCTACCTGTCGCAAGGTTATGTTCTTCATAGGAGTGCATTCCAGATATCGTTTGTGTTCATATCTGTTTATAGCAGCTGTTCCGTTTTGGACTTCATTTCAAATTTTTAACAAACACAAGCAGGTATATTCATTTCAAATCATTATAGATAAAGCGATATACAATTATAGGCATGTGTGAATCTTTAATCAGCTCGGATGAATTATTTGAATGTTATTCTTGTGTTTTTTTTACTACCATGAAATTTGTTCTTCCATCTCATCTTGATGGATCTTCCAGGCATTGAATGTTAAATTGTTGAAAGCTAAAGAAAGAAATACGAAGAGGGATATTCGAAAGGAGCTCAAGATGCTTTCCAAAGAAGAGCGCAAGAAGCAGCAGTTGGCTGTGACAGATGTAATAAAAAAAATGCAGATGTTGTTCTAACCACACTGACAGGTTCATTGTCGCGAAAATTAGGTGGCAGTTCATTTGATGTCGTGATAATTGATGGAGTTGCTCAAGCACTTGAGGGAGCTTGCTGGATCGCTCTACTAAAGGTAACGAAGCAAAAAGCTTTTATAGAGCATTGAAGAATATTACTGCCTTTCTCTTATAATCCCCCTAGCCCCATTACTTCACAACCTAAGAAACTATATAAAATCTTGATTCCATCCCTTATCTATCATGAATACTTATAAATAGATTTGGCCATAAGTACATTAACTATTTCAACCTTCTAGACCATTTGGGCACTTTCAGTAGGTACCAAAACGAGTACGTTATCTAAAAATGGAAAGGGCACCAATTATTTCAGTGCTGATTGGGTATTTAGATGTATATGACTCCAAAGAAGACTTTTATGGCATGGAGCATGAGTAGATCTAATTTGGTTTTACAGGGTTCTAGGTGTACACTTTATGGGGACCATCTCCAACTTCCTCCGATGGTCAAGAGTGTTGAAGCTGAGAAAGACTCTCTTCGAGCGCCTTGCTGTAACACCCCCAAATCCATACATTGCATATAACACATATTTCATGTATAGAATACATGTTTTCCCCCACATAGGTCCTTGATACAAGAGTCTATAATGTAAAATACGCAACCCAAAATTTTTAAAAGTACATGTTCTTGCATCCTAGCATCTATGCTTCCAAAACAGCTAAGCACATAGGGAAGTAATTCACATAATGCTCTTTCCCTTATTATCATTACATGCACACATATTTTGAAAACACGAAATGAGGGTTAGACATG